TTAACTTTATGATTAATTGCAAAATTTGTGATTTTCTTTTCGCAATGAATTGTAGCAGTTCTCTCAGATTTAGTTTTCTGTCACGCAGAAGATTTCGCGAAGATCGAAATAACACTGGAACTACCGACGACTAAAAGTGTAAGAATTATATCAGAGAAATAAGAGTGCAAGCAGCAGGCGAAAACTAATAAATAAAACTAATAAATTGGTTACAGTGGTTGATCACTTTGTGGTAGTTCTAGTGATAAATTGTGTTTTGTTGATGAACTAGACCGACACAATTACGGTGTAGGATTTTTATAATTTGAAATGTATGATAAAATACATCGACAGTAGTGAAGCTACAAATTTTTCCGAACAGCCAGTAGGATGAAGAAGAAACTCGTTTCTTCGTACGATATTAAAGCGGCTTTGATAAACGGCGATTGAGTAGAGTAGACACTAATCAGGCAGAGGTTCAAGAAAGGGGAGAAAAAAAAAAAAAGCCTTTAAGACTTAATATAAAGTGCTTCCTCGTGTAATGCGATATCGATAATCAACGGGAGTCTTCTGTTGATTCTTTCTTGCCGCTTTAAAAACACCAGCCTCGGGCGATTTATCGGCTTTTTTAATATCCCCGTCAATATTGCCCCTTCGAAAAAATTTAATTGTCAACAAACAGAGGAAGGATGGTTTTCAATATGATTCCTAAGACGTTCTGCAATAATTAGATTGCGGATTTTTGTGCAGTCACGATGACTCACGAAAGTTTTCGAACACCTTGGTTTTTATAAAAAGATGATAAGTTTTGCTTGCGACTAGTTTCCTATTAGTTTGTAAATTTTATTAATATTCGTGAACTCTTGCTATAAATCGGTGAAGACTTGTTTCATTTTTTATTACAATCTTCATAATTTTATCATAATCTCTTTATTATAATGATCAGCTCTTTATTATGATATTATCCCTTGTCACATTATATCCCTTTTTATTATATTATTATATTTTATACGTTTTTGCACGTTACAATACTATTTGTATTCAGCGAATAAAGTATTCGGAATTCTTTATAATAAAAAGATGAAACAATATTAGAATACAAAATGAAACAAGTGTCTTCAGTCACTTGTGGTGATAATGTTTGAACACAAGACGATAGAGAGATTTGCCGTAAACGCGAGATCGTGCAAATTATTCGTGGTTTCCTATTCGCGTAAACTGTATAAAGATTCTTTCCAAATTGACACTTAAATTGCATATGCGATAAATTTCCGCGCAACTTCCGCTTCTATCGAGATTGGCTTCCTTCGCTAGCTACTCGACGCGATCGGAACGTGGTATGTAATTAGGTGAATCCCGGGAAATCGCAAATTGCTCCGAACCGATCGCGCACGTTAGAGAAATAAATTTCAGTCGCACTAACTTGACATCCGATGAAATTCTGGCACGTACTGCTCGTTGTCTTCCGTTTCGCAGCTGCTGCCTGCAATACAATAATTTGCAAATTTATCATTAAGAAATAATCGTTTGCACGAGGAAATCGAAAGGGTCGCAAATGAAATAGTGCTGTTAATATTAAGTGTTCATTCTTCAAATCGAGCTTTCTCAGTGAATAATTAGTTTCATTATTCCAGATCTCTATGTATTCGTCTCTAAGATATCTGGAATGTAGTTTTCCAGATTCACAAGTTTTTTTTTTTTAATTTATGTATTAAGAAACTGACCAAGAGAGCAACAAAGGAAGTCTTGAAACTTCCTGCATCACATTTGTTACTAACAGCACTTTCACGTCGTTGTTGTCAAATTTAAAACAAAAACGTCACAGGAACATCACGTTCCTTGAAATATTCTGAGGGGATGCAAACTTATGCGAATTAATATTAATAGAAAATAAAGATTATCACAAGGTGTTGAATAATGATTCGTTAGGATCGTCTTAGCGGGGAAGCTATTCGTTGGCCACTGGCCTTGGCAGAAGGTCCCTTCGTTATCGCGATTATTACATTGCATCCACCACCGTGCATTACATTACAGTTTGTCAAAGTAATCAAAATTAATGTTCCGGATAGTCAGGCCACTGTATCTAATCATCTTCGTGGAAGATTTACGAACGGTAAACGAGTCGTGTTGCCCCGTCCGTTTTTGCGAGGAATAACGTCGATAAGGATTTTTACCGCGGCGTTTTCTAGTTTCTAGAGACTCTGTGCTGTTCCACTGAAAGGAAAGTAGAACGGAAGCCGAGCGCTTTAAAGCGTCATACTGGGCATTGCTTTTATAATTCAATCAAGTTAATGGAACCTGCCACAGCGATCTCGCTGCGAAAGCGAACGATAATAATAATAATTATTATTATTATTTTCATATTTTTATCATGAATCTGGATAGTATAGATTTAACGATGCGATACGCGCAAGGAAAATGAAAAGAAAAAAAAAAGCAAAAAATTTTAATCGCCCGAACAGGGACTCGAACCCTGGACCCTCAGATTAAAAGTCTGATGCTCTACCGACTGAGCTATCCAGGCATCTGATAGCTTCTACCTTAATATTCCTGGAAACTGCTATTTCCCTACGTTGTGATCTTTGCACTTTTCCTCAGACTTGGTATAAATTATTTATAACAAAAAAATCTACTTACCATCTTGAAGCCACGGCTCCTGCCTATATTCCGGTGTGGGGTATATTTCATTTTCTGAAAAAAGTTTCGTGTCGGTTTTTAAACGGCTGTTTCTTCAGAATGTTGTGAAAATTTATTAAAGACTCTATGCTGGACAAAAGGGAAGAAACGTTGATTTCATAAATTCACTTTTGAATATTATTGTACAAGCAGACCTGTCATCTATGCTATTTCTTAAAGAGGTTTCATTTGGGCTTAATTGCCAAGGAAAGAGAAACTGTCGAATATTATTTAAACAGTAGCTTTCTTATTCCATGCGTTTAATTTATGAACGAAGCAAGGGATTAGTTGGTAATATAATGATTAATGGTTACTCGGGAATAATTATCCCACCGTGAAGTTAATACCTCGCATATTCTACTATGTTACTTGGTCAAATTCAATGAATATCCATTATCGTCAAAGATAATAAGACCATTCCAGATGATAATTATCCTGTTGAATTTAATAAAAACGCCTAAAACAATTAAAGGACCCGAAGAAGGCAGTAACAGAATTTTGCAAAAATACAATAATAAAACTGTCAGCCATTCTTGATGAGTTGATTCATGCAATAAAATCCTTCGTAGCATCCTTATTTCTAGACGATAGAAATACATCTAACGTGTAAAAATACGATTTCTGAGTAATTATGTTATGACGAGACACGATGTCTGAGCTGTAATAAGATTCAACGAAAGACTGGGGGGGGGGGCCGTAAGATGGAACAAAGACTGAACGTCGGGGGATGAATCAGTGGCAAAAACAACCCCTTTCAATGCAAGCATGTACATAAGAATGCGACAGAAATGTATGCTACGTGGGGTCCGTTTAATGGGCCTCTAGGATTCGCCACGGGTAGCCACTTGTCAATAACTTTGTTTTGTTCATAGCTACAATCTCGTCTGACGAATCGAATTTACTCGGCTTCATAGCTCGTTGGATAATAACATTTCCATTTTACAGAACACTATACCTAGTTTATTACTAATCTCTTTCTTTCTCAACTTGTCGCGTAAAAATAGGAAAATTAATTCTATCGATCGACCATCAGCTTTGACTAGTAGATAATCCTTGTATATGAATAATTAATCTATTTCTAATTAATCCACGTATTGTTCGAACAACTGTAACGTGAATTATATAAAGCTGTTGGAATTATGCTTTCTTACATACTTCCTCAATTTTGATAGTAATTACTTTCGAACAAGGATGTGGATTCTCTAAATACGATGAATCTACGTAATTTGTTGTAACAAGTTTCTCAAGTCACTCTAATAGCTACACTCGCCGCCGGTGCGAAATTCTTGTCGCAATTCCGCTTACATTTCTCACGAGGAGAGGAACCTGGGATCGAGCCTCGATGACGAGAGGGAAGAGCTAGAAGGTTCGTTCTTTCGCGTCGACGCGAAACGTTTCAATATTTCTTCGCGACGAATCGTCGCCGAAAAGTGGATGGGGATGGTGGTAGGGCGTAACGTGATTACGATAGAGAAATTGCAGCATTATAGGCAGTGATTGAGTTAGGTGGAGGCGGACCATCCTGACTGGTGGTTCACACCACGGCATGCCAATGTTAGATATAAAGTGTCAATCACTGCGCCCAGACGCCGCTAGGGTGGCTACGAATCCTGTGGGGGTACGACCGGCATCCACTACCCCATGGGGCTCTTTGCGGCGATAACACGTTGCTTATTGAATTCGTCCTGAGGCTTCTCGTCGTGGTGTCGCGTTTCTAGGTCAAGGCTAAGTAAAACTACCGGAGGCACTAATTGACCGATGGTCCAAATTCCATTCCCATGTTCTTCGTCATGCTCTTCACAATCGAACAAATTGGATACGACTCTATACACGTTACACGTTTCTGCCGGTTTTAAATCTTGGTTAACATTTTCACGGGTATCTGGAAATTTTTTAAACTTTTTTTATCACACGGTGGAGTAATTTCTACTAACTTGTTCAAGAAACAACAATTGTAACAAGACTGCGAATCTTTATTGATTTACGCGAAATCTGAAATATGGAATAATAAAAATTCAAAGAATGCACAGAATACGAATTTCAATACGATTCGAGTTCTATCCCTCTAGCTGAATTTATAAATATCTTATAGCCTTAATGTTTCAATGAACAGATTTGTTGATTTATTAGAGTTTCTTTGTTAATCGATCTGAATTGTTCTAACACACGCCGACAGGGTTTAGAAATCGTCCGACTCTTGAAATACGCTTCACCGTTTGGTGCGGCCTTAAAACGTAATTGCACTGTAGAAAATAATATCATCCTCGATGCGACTATATAAAGATATTGACTTGACTGCCTGTCGGTGACAGGCTCTCTTCAGGGGGTGGTTCCCCCTTTGCCCCGTTGTACACAGTTCGCGTACATCCTGCACGTGCTTCGGGCCGTGCTACGCCTTCTTGCCTGCGTGGATTTTCTTCGTGTACGTGTACGTGTTTACACGAAGACGCAATCGAGACACCATGTCACGACGGAGACTCGGTGTTCCCGAGCAAAGAGCTTCAAAATCGTCGGCCGGGGGATGGTGACCCGAATGGACCGCCCTCGAGTTTCTCGTTTCTCGTTTCGTTCACGAAAAGTCTCATTGAGACGCGAACAACTCGAAACAGATCAAAATATTGATCGACTATGATTCGTCGTACCGTTCAGATCTCTCTATTCCGTGTGTTTTAATACAAAAAAAAAAAAAAAAATCGTGAAATCGTTCGTAAATTTTATTCGAAAATTGAAATAAACAATTTGAAACATTTTGAAAGATACACGGTGTCGTAAGTGTTAGAACTGTCTGCTCGTTATATTTGTTAAAGAATTTTAACGAAGTCATCACTCAGTGATTCTATTTGATACTTTGCTGCATCGTCTCTATCTAAAGTTCATGTTTTACTTACCAGGATGCAACTTCTCCTCGGTGCTCGTTTGTGTCACGGGGTAGTTAGTGGAACAATATCCTGTGGCAACTGTTTGAAGTGGCTCGTTTAGCCTGTTGAATTCTTCGTTTGGCTGAAAAACGCAAATATCTAAACGTTAAAATTGCACATTATTTGTAGCAGTAAACGTTTATTTCAAGGTTTTAAAACACATTATAAAATTTCTTTGTTCTCTAGATTTTCGTTTGTTTTCATCGTTTCCTCGTTTCTTGACTAAAGTAATGTCTGAGAAATAATTTAACTTATCACTTTTCCTCTATATACTCTTACAGCCTTCTATCAGACGAGTATTCTAATATTTCTATGATATTGATTTTTAACAAGTTATAACAATGATATTTTTTTTGTATGAAACTAAATCAGCCTTTCGATCTAACAGGGTCTTTCCATTTTCAAACATGTAAAAATGAGTTTTTTTTTTCGTACGATCTTCGAATGAAACGCGCGTGAAACGAAGCCGTGTACTTGGCATCAATCGAATATTTAATATTTCAATACTTCATCGTGGAAATCCAGCGTTTCACGTTTTAATCTCGCCGGTGTAAGGAGTGAAAAGACTTCTTCGTTTGTAAGCATTCAAGTCAGGTAAGGAGAGAAAAAGACGAAGACAATCGACGCGAAGAGTTGATATAAAATCGTAGGAAGAAAGGTGGTTTGGAACAAAAAGGAACAGCGAGGAACAGGATTTTAAGTAAAGTAGCGTAGCCGGTACATTGGGAAAGAAGAAGAAGAGAGAGAGAGAGAGAGACAGAAAAAGAGAAAGAGAGAGAGAGAGAGAGAGA